ATGATTGTCAATTGTTGAGGTTTCTTCTGTGGTTGTTTAAAACGATTTCAAACCTTGCTACGGAAATACTCGAGGCAGTAGTCACTTATCTTTGTCCTCCAGTTTGACCTTGAGTAACCAGAACAATTCTTGAGATTTAACTTGAAAGATTTCCAGTAATATACCGGCCAAGATTATATTGACGTATTTCCGATTCTTTAAAGCTAAAACAGAATTATTTTGAAACAAAATTACTAGAATCAGTTGCAACTGGAGTATGCACTCCACAACAAAGATTCTTTGCCAGGGATTAAACACGGGCTCAGTCTTCTCAGTTCAGGCGAAATGGAACTACACGGCCATTTTGACTATACTTAAGTTACAGAACTGTAAACTTCATTATATGATTCCTGTCAAGTGCCAATAGTTTATCTCGTGTTTATTCAGCAGTGGACGAACTCGTCGACCAGATATTTGCTTTTCACAGCATCAAATGAATACTAAATAAGACCAGAACGGTGCTGCCTTTGTCGGTAACTGCATGTACACTAAATGATAGATTATCATCGATGCTTAAACATGCCAAGTGTCATGTCCTAATCTCTTCAATGAATTGGTGTAATTTCTCTAGGTATTTATCACTTTATTAATTATTTAAACAGGCCTGTTTGTGTAACGATATCCTTGAATAAAATAACACTGTGTTAATAATGTGACCATGCTAAGTAGACCAACTTTAATTTATGAACAATTTCTTATCGCTTCGTATAAACAATTGTGTAGGAGGGCGATAAGTATGGTTGCCAGGAAATTAGTTATATTGGCGCTTGCTTGTTTGGTTTCCTTTACTTTAGCCTCGGATAAAATATCAATACAAACAAACTTTATTCAAACAGAGCTAGCAATATACTGGTAGTAATTTTTCAAATCCGACTGTGAGGACTGGACTAAATTTCTACTCCAGTCCAAATAGACCTTTCCCCTTATAACCAAAATTTTGATCTAGGCAAGTCTAGACAAATATTTCATCACAGCTTGAAAGAGCATCACAAAATTAGTAATGTTCCAAAGTTTTGTTACAAAATGTTGTAAAATGAGGAAAATAGAGCCTTGCGAAATTTGCAATTTTCAGTCATTTTGCATCACAAACGGGAAATTGCAGCCCCAACACCCGAATCGGATGTCAATTTCCCGTTTGTAATACAAAATGACTGAAAAACGGCCAACTTCGCAAGGCTATATTATCCGCATTTTACAAGATTTTGCAACAAAACTTTGGAATATTACTAATTTTGTGATGCTCTTTCAAGCTGTGATGAAATTTTTGTCTAGATCGAAATTTTAGTTATAAGGGGAAAGGTCTATTGGAGGATTTGAAATGACATCTCATACGAATAAATCACAACTCAAAGTGAGGTGAATTAATTTTGATCCAGTCCAAGGACTGAATAAATTTCGATCCAGTTCTAGGACTGGATCAATATACTTCACAAGGTTCCAGTATTATGTGAACAAATTAAATTTACTTATCGCCATGCGAACTTTAAGTTGAAGTTGACCAACTTGAATGTGTTTGATCATGTCTCGTATAAAACGCTTTGTACTTTGGACTGTAAGGCTGTGTCAAGTATATATAGACTTTCAGAGCGGGCAGGTTCTGCAGTGTGGGGTAGATCTCTAAGTATCCACCAGTATGCAGGCCTGAACATTCATTTTGTGTATGAAGTTATGAACATTCGACATCTGGCATCCAGAATACGAGAGTGATATGGGAAGACACTATGTACTTAAAATGATAGAAATACCAACCTTCTTGATGCCTTTTTTTGAAATTTCTTCCACTTGGAACTCGCTGTTCTCTCTTTAAAATCTGCACTTTGTCTTTCTTTGTAACTTCCGTTCTGTATCGTTTTATATGTCTCTCTTCTGCGATATAAAGTCGAAAAGCCAAACTCTCCAAATTTATCTCTTGATCTGAAATACTTACAAGTGTATCTCTTTCTGTGAACCCTCGCTCTGATAACTCTATGTCCTCTGCTTTCAATATGTGTCTTTGCACCTTTTATACCCAGTATGTCAGTCTTCCGCGGTATAAGAGCCACAGGTCAATAGGTCACCACTCAAGATTTATCTTCTGAAATATTTCCAAACTATCTCTTACTGTTCTGTCAACAAGTATGCACTGAAATGCCAACGTAATTCAACGAGTCAACTAAATCTGCTCGATTCTTATCACGGATCACCAACTTTCTCCTAAAAATCTGCAAAGAAAAAGAAATACGCTCATAAGTTGTGTGGATTTTCGGAAGAAGCTTCTATTTGCGATGCAGTTTTGGGTTCGTTTTTAGAAATTGACTTCAATATCTGGGAAATAATGTTTAAATGTACAAGTAGCATTAATTTCAATCAAGCTATTAGCACCTCGTATGCATTTGTGCTAAAAGCCCACACGCCATGATTTTATATGGAATACACAAGGAAACCTCAGTTGTGTTGCCAAGGCTTCCGCAAGCGTCACAACAACGCCGCGGATGATAGTCAAAAATGTTGAAAGACTTCATCTCTCAATTCAATTTATTATCATTACTTAATTATACATAGAATTGAAAGAATTAACAATATTTCCCTTACTCTGATAACTGCAAGCTGCCCACCATCTGTTGCACGATGGTACTTAGTGAATATCCTGCTCGTCCTATCGCTATTTTTACAGTGGCATTTTGTTGTGCTGTTATTTTGCGTTCACATTTGTTCGACAAATGCTTGGTGTTGTCTTAGGTTGCTGTGTTTACATTTAAGTGAACTCCTATATTGTGTTTGTAAATTAAGTAAACATTATAAAGAAAGCTGAGGCAGTCCTAAAATTATTATGATTTATGAGGTGTCTTCCTATTGTTGAGTTATGTATATGGTCCGAGTGATGCAGAGGTAGTACATGTTCTTGAATGTGGAGGTTGTCCTAAAGTCATATGACTCACTGCTGAATTAAGCATGGTCACATCTTGTACATGTAATGCACGTTTTTGAATCAGCACACGCGCTTTCATTGAGCTCTGTTAGTTCAGTAAAACTTCTCACTATAAAGGTCCAGTAATGTTTTTACATTATTGATCCATAAGAGGAAACCTAAACTTTAAACTAACTTTATTTAGACTGGGTAGCTCTATCAGTTCTAAACTGTTCTTCCTAGAGGTCCAGTAAGGATCATCTCTTATTGATCCACTGTTACTACAGGAGGAAACCTAAACTAAACTAACTTTATTTATACTGGGTAACTTTATCAGTTCTAAACTGTTCTCCTTAGAGGTCCAGTAAGGATCATCTCTTATTGATCCAGTGTTACTACAGGAGGAAACATAAACTAAACGAACTTTATTTATACTGGATAGTTCTATCAGTTCTAAACTGTTCTCCCTAGAGGTCCAGTAAGGATCATCTCTTATTGATCCAGTGTTCCTACAGGAGGAAATCTAAACTAAACTATTTTTATTTATACTGGATAGCTCTATCAGTTCTAAACTGTTTTCCCTACATTGCAGGTCCATATAAGGAAGAGGGCATCCCGATGTTTTTCAAGAGGAATCAGGAGTTCTCAGAGACCACCTGCGGTTTGGAGTGTATAGAAAACACTTCTAAGTTGATGTATTTACAGCCAAATGAAAGGTATAGTGCCAAACGGTGGCAATTATTGACAATTATACTTATCAAACCACAGCCATTATCAATTCCTACATACCTTAGAGATACCAAATCAGAAAGAGTTCCGCAGCAAATTCCCTGACCTGCGATATCAGTCATCAGGGGTCAGTAACAAACTGATATACTGTTATACCTCAACACCGCATGTTCTCAGTCGGCTACCCCTCTCCCTGTGTCACGATATTGCTTCGTTTTGTTTTCAAACACTCGTATACTGCACATAGAAATTGTGGATTAAATTGCCAAAGTTTAAGTAAATATGGCATTGTAATCAAGAGGAACTGTCATTTGTTTAGTATAAAAAGATTTTACCCCCTAGCTGTATGTTTGAACAAGCCTAAAACCTCTTGTAGAGATTTGATTGAAAAATCTCGTGGGAGAGCGCTTTCGATTCCTTGATTTTATTTCCAAATGTAGATGAAATTGTTGCCATTTTTGACTGAAAAATTAACACTAGAAATAAGAGATCTTACCAGTTCTTATTGGACCTCTATGAAGAACAGTTTAGAACTGATAGAGCTATCCAGCATAAATAAAGTTGGCTTAGTTTATGTTTCCTCCTGTAGTAACACTGGATCAATAAGAGATGATCCTTACTGGACCTCTAGGAAGAACAGTTTAGAACTGATAGAGCTATCCAGTATAAATAAAGTTAGTTCAGTTTAGGTTTCCTCCTGTAGTAACACTGGATC